TTCAGGGTTGGCGTGGGTGGTGAAGGTGAGACGCAGGACGATGCAAGTGAGGAGGAGAGTCAAACCGCGGTGGATGACGGAGCAGGTTCTGATTCGGACAGTGAGGGAGAAGGTGAGCTGAGTGAGGGTGAGAGTGAGTGTGAGGGTGTGCGCGTGAGTCGAGATTGTGTGCGTCCGTCTCGTAATAACAAGTCTTCAGTATACAATCATTTGGTTTCTAGTACTGACTGTTGTCGTACTTATTCTGATTCCTGTTTTTCTGTTTTGTGCCGTGCTCGTCATGGTTATCTTTTGCAGTTACAAGTTTTGGAAGCTGTTTGTCAGCGCATTCATAAGCCGAATTTGTGTGTCCAGAAAGATAGTGTTATTACCTTAAAATTGTTCAAATAATGTTCTGTTGTGTAGTGTGGCAACGTTGTTGCCACTTGTGCCTAAATGTGTTTTGTCACCTTCTTGTTTATTATTGTTATTATTATCATTCGTTCTCACTTTTTTGTTTTTTGTTGCTGATACACACTTGTCACGCTTAGTTCTTACTTGTATACCCTTGTTTTCTGCACACTTTTGTGAGAAATCGCACCTCGATATTCTAGTGCTGTCATTGTATCGTGTCACCCTACCTTGATTGCTATATTATTTCCTTTGTTCTCATTTTGTTCTTTAGTACAACGGTGATTCCTGAAGAGTGTTGTACGAAAACTTGTTCGAATCATCTTTTTTTTTTCCATTGCCCTTTTTCTTCTTACATGTATTTTTCCTTACCCTTTAGGTTGTTTCTTGCATCGTCTCCATCGCTTACATTGTTAATAAAGTAGTCCACATGTCGCTTCAGCTCGTCCTACTTATTGCCAATAATAATAATAATAATAATATACATGTATAGGATTTGAGTGTTCTGCATTATCCACAGTGTTGTAATACATGAAGATGATGATAGCACTGGCAGGGAAAGCAATTTGGAAGTGCTCGGTACACTGAATAAGCACAGATATGCCATGGATGGAAGTCTGGGATTGACTGAGGAGTACTTCCACAGGTTGACACATCTAGTGCTTGTAAGAGTTAGAAAATATGGCGACTGGTCTGCAAGCAACGACCAAAAATGCAGAAGAAAATTGAACGAACAGAAATATTCAAAATACAGTTGTGGAAGTAAGAAGAAAGATGATGAAGCTGAAGGGTTACATTTGCCAGAGGGTGTTAGCACCCGACGCTGGGTGACAGCAAACCCTGTCAGGTAGTGGTACATTTTGTCAATACTTCTGCAATGGAACTACAATCGCCGCGGAAAATACACCTCAGGTAAGAGACTCTTGCAACTATTCGAGAGTCTCAATGCATGCGCCGTAACAGTTATACACAACAGACAAACTAGACAATCGTTGTAATTGCATCAATTATTGTGATCCACTCACAACATCCACCTGCAAACAACTCGAAACAGAAAATGTATCCGTCAGCGACGAAAGTTTTAATAACGATCAGGAGTAACTGTACAGTGTCTGGTTCCCCAGTTTAGAGTCATATTGATATTGTCAAGTATAAGGTGTTTGTTTACATTTGTGTTTGTTGTTGTTGTTGTTCTTTTTATTTGAAATCGCACTACCAAACGGGCGATAATTTTTTTGGTGTGTGTGCGTATGGGTGTGTGTGTGTGTGTGTGCGTATGTGTGTGTGCGTGTGTGTGTGTGTCCAACCTGTTGGAAGACTCCCTTCTTGCCAAAGCATTTGGAAGTTGGACTAGTTTCGGATCCACAATTCAGTGTGTCGTTACTATAATAGCTTTCATGGCTGAGGTTGTTGGTATGTCTGTTGGCTCTGGGTTCCCAGTCCAGCTGTACTCAGTAGCCGAGGCTGGTTGGTAAAGTAACTCCAATTTCACTTCAAGTTACCAGTGCATCTGGTGTCTGCTTCTATCAAAGCAGCGTGCTGTCTATAGTGTAGGGTGTGCATAGGTAACAGTCTTGGCAGTTTTATGCCGATGTACTCCATGTGGTGTAGACCAGGTGTGCATTGGACATGGCTTCGCCAGTTGTGCGGATTAGACAGTTATCTCGCCCAAGTCTTGATCTGTCTCATTCAGATCTTGTTCGCTATCGTTGCTATAAGACAAAATCTGTGGGTGCACATCCAGTGCATTTGCAGATGTGGGTGCTTCTCTTGCGACGGGCGTATACATGGTACATGCTGGTGTGTTTGTAAGTGTGTGTGTGTGTGTGTGTGTGTGTGTGTGTGACAATTCAGCGTCGACAACATGGTCACCTCGGATATGTCCACTCGCGCTGACCCTCGTCCGCCTGAGCGCGAAGGAGTTGCAAACCCCCGCTCAGAGCTTACCTCGCAGCATGCACGAGCCGCTCGGATGTTCGTGCTGTCTCTGGGAACCCGGAATGTGAGGACTCTTGTTGAGTCCAACGGCGACAATACGGCTTCAAAATTTCAAAAAAATCAAAACATTTGTTGGGGGAGGAGAAGAAAATTGACCTGGTTTGTCGGCAGCTTGGACGTTTCGGAGTGGATATCGCAGGTCTGCAGGAGACCCTTTGGTTCGGCACGGCTCAGTACAGCGTTGGCGACTCCCTCGTTTGGCGAATGGACGCCCTACTCCAACGGCGGATGACTCTGGACGTCGTGCTGAAGGTGTTGCGATAATGCTGCGCGGAAAGTGCAGAGACGCCTTTGTCAGCGGCGGTTCCAAATGGAAAGGACACAGCTCGCGACTTGTCTCCGCGAAGGTAAAGTTCGATGTTGTCGTAATCGTTCAGTATAATAATTATTGCATTCATATCGCTGTTGCGTATGCACCAACATTCAGTAGATCACGTACGGAGAAAGCTGAGTTCTATGAAAGTTTGCAGTCCTTCCTTGATAGTGTACCCAGGAGTGACCAGCATGTCGTACACGGCGATTTCAATGCTCGTGTCGGTGTTGGTACTGCTGGAGACGAGTGGAGCCGCGTAAGGGGTACACATGGATATGGCATCATGAAGAGGATTTACTAAACTTCCTGGCCAGAAACAGTGCGCTCATCTGCAACAGGTTCAGGAAGAAGGACATCCACAAGCACACGTGGCACCACCCCAGGTATAGGTAGCCTCGATGTACGGACCACTGCATTATTCCAGAGTCATGTCAGCGTCAATGTCTGGATTGTCAAGTTCTCCGCTCTGCGGAGTGTGATACCGACCATAAGTTCCTTGTCATGAGATACCGCTTGGCGGCGATGCCCAGCTTCCGCAGGCAACGAAAACCAGCTACCAAACCCATCGCTGCCGCAGCCCTAACGGCTCCCTTCAATGAAGAAGCTGCTAGCAAAATATTCCACTAGTCTTGATGCTGCCCAGGTTTAGAACTGGCCAGATGTGCTATCTGTGGACGGATGATGGGCTGCGTTGAAAACTACGGTGGCGGACGTCAGAAATGCCTTGGCAGAGAGCGGCGCAAACAACCAGACTGGTTCCTGGACCATCGACCAAAGATTAAGGCTGCCCTCCGTGAGCGAGATGATTGCTACTGAGCATGGATGTCGACCAACAGGGCAAGCGAACAGAAGCTGTATCAGAAGGCACGAAGTTAAGCTCGCCGTATCGTTCGTCAAGCAAAGCAGGACTGGCTGAGAAAGCAGGCTCGGGACTGCGAGCGCTTTAGACTTACATCTAAGGGAGGCTGGGAGTGCATCAAGAGAATCCAGACTGCACTTGATGGATTGCAGCCCCGCAAGACAACTGCTATCAAGAATGCGCAGGGTGTTGTGTGCGAGACACCAGAGGCAACAGGTACTCGATGGCGGGAGCATTTTGACGGTGTCTTAAACGTTCTCAGTGATTTTGTCCCAGATGCCATTGATTCCATTGGACAGCTACCGATTCGGCTTGACCTTGCGAACGCCCCAGTCTGCAGCGAAATACACCGTGCTATGCGTGCTCTTCAAAAATGGTAAAGCATGTGGTCGATCAGAGATAAACAGCGAAGAAGCTCAAGTGCGGCTCTGAACTGGTGCCTAGGTTGGAGATGTTGTTGGCTGAAGTCTGGAGGACGGAAAGGGTTCCTGAGGATTGGGCAGACGCCATCCTAATCCCAATTCCCAAGAAAGGTGATCTTAGTGAGTGTGGTAACTAGTGAGGCATTGCGCTTTTACACGTGGTCGGCAAGCCGGTGGCAAGAATAATAGCTGATCGCAGAATTGGACAAAGGAATACCTGCCTGACTTCCAGTGTGGTTTTCGCCGTGCAGGGGATGCTCAGACATGGTGTTCTCAGTACGCCAGGTTTGTCACTAACCGGCACAAACCCGCAAGTGCACAGTTAGGAGATGAGTTGATAACTGATTTATTTGCTCGGACTGAAAGAGAATTTATACGATAAGTGAACGTGGCAGTGCAACATCGTACGGAGCACGCGCACTTCATTATTTTGGGAGAGCAGTTTGCAGCAGTTGGGAAAAAAGCGAGCTCTGGCATGGCTGTGTAAACCTAGAGGGTCTGAGGCTACCAACTGTGCATGTGGCAGAACTTGCCGTACAGAGTTCACAGTGCAATATTTACCGTATAGACTAAGACAAAGCTACAGATTGCTGCAGTGCCGAAACATGAACTAAAACATGTAAAATAGCAAAATTAAACTATCTCGCTTCGCGACACTCCCGCCGCAAAGATAAGTAACACATATTTGTGCGATGCCGTAAGAACCATGTTAAAAGACTAGAGAGCTGAAACAGATTTCCAGCTGGAAATACTTCAATACTTAAAGAACAAATGCAAGAAACTATATCTAAGCAATTCGAAGTTCTGGAGCTAGTTTCATCAGTATGCTACAGTATTTACGGTATGTCACAACACAACCTTAATTAATCGAGAGCTAGGTTTGCATGATGGGAACTCAATAACTGAACCGTAAGCAATGTAGATATTACTATCATAATTAAATTTAGAAAACCATAACCAAGAACACTGGCAACTGTTCGCATAAGTACCAGGTACATGCAGTTAATTCACATGGCTACTATACTTGTCCATCTTCGATCAGATCACGGGTGCGCATTGTAGCTGCTGTTGCTGCATTGCGTCGCGGGCGTTCAGGCAGTGGCGCAATTGCAGGCTCTGTCACTTCTGCAGTGGTTACTTCGCCTGATGAACACTCTAATGGATAGAGATGGCTTACCGGCCGGTTCATGGAACTCCCAGATGGCATACGTAGCGTCACTGATCGCACTTCGCCGTCTGTGCTTTGGTGTAGCTGCGCGATTCTTCCTATTTTCCAGCAGCTGCGCGGCCGATCAACATCCTTGATCAGAACAATGCAGTTCACACTTGGCTTGAAGCTATTGGAATTTTGTTGACTGTGTTGTTGTGGTCGTAGCGACTGCAAATACTCTGCCGACCACTTCTCCCAGAAAATGTTGAGACATTTCTGCTGCTGTTTCCACAGGTTGACGAGTTGTTGAGCATTACTGACATGTGTGATGTAGTCAGGGTCATCTGTAATGACAAAGTTAGGCTGACCAAGAGAACTATGCCCAGTTAAGAAATTGGCAGGCGTGAGAACATGATCGATTGTGAAGTCCTCACCAACGTATACCAGTGGTCTAGAATTGACAATTGCCTCAATTTCAATTAGCAAAGTTTCAAGTTGACAGAATGTAAGCTGTCCAGTTCCAATTGATTTCTTCAGAGATCGTTTCACAATACCAATCATGCGTTCGTAAACACCACCCATCCAAGGAGCTAACTCAGTGATGTATTTCCATTTAATACCTTTTCCCGCAATGAATTCCATTACATCATTATGTTGAATTGACTCAAGCCAGAGAAGATCAATAACATTCTTAGACAGCTTGAATTGCTTGGCATTATCACTTACTATGTACTTCGGTGTACCTCTCCGTGAGATGAACCGTCTGAAACACATTAGGAATTGCTCAGTAGACATATTGCGAACTAATTCCATATGAATAGCTCTGGTAGTTAGGCAAGTGAGGATGCATACCCACACTTTAGCTGTTTCAGTTTCCGTTTTCACATACATTGGCCCAAAGTAATCAAGACCAACAGATTCGAACACCCTCCCAGGGACAAGCCGTTCCTCAGGCAAAGGTGCAAATGGTGGTGTTGCAAATGGCTTTCCATGATGGCGTTTGCACAAAAGACATTCCTTAATCACCCGTCTAACCATTGCTCGACCTTTAGGCACCCAGTAATTCCGTCTCAATTCAGCCAATGTCTGACTAACACCCGAATGTTTAAGTGAGATGTGCTGTTCCATTACAATTAACCTCGTTAAGTGTGAACCATAAGCTAGCAATAGAGGAAATTTACTTTCGAATGGTAGGTGAGAATACTCCAGTCTACCCTTACATCGGATTAAACCATTATCAAGGAAGAGACCCAAAGCATCGACGAGCTGATGTCGCTTGCCTTGTTCTATTGCCTTGATTTCATTTCCAAAGTGCTGAGCTTGATGATACCGAATGATAGCTACTCTTGACATTGCGATTTCTTCAGCTGTGAGATTCGTTTCACTTTCCGACTTTTCGTGTTTGAGTTTCCGTATGAATCGTTGTACCCATGCGTTCACTCTCACAAGCTTAGAAAACGAGGAGAACTTCTCACAGTTGACTACCTCATTGTGTTCATTGCTAACAAAGGCCGATTCGGGAGAGGGACCTTCGTCCGCATTTTCCTCACAAATTGGCATTTCACTTCCCGTCGCTTGCATTGCTGGAAACATACTTTCTGGATAGGAACCAGACTTCAACCACGTTGGACCCTCCCACCACAAGGTGTTCTGCTGTAAACTCGTTGCATTAGCTCCTCGAGAAACAATATCAGCTGGATTTTCTTTCCCAGAAACATGACCGTACATGACATTATTCACCTCGTGAATGGTTCTAATTCTTCTTGCAATAAATTGCGGCCGCTGTTGATTTCCAGTTACCCATGCTAGTGCACATTTTGAGTCGGTCCATATGTGCGTCTTGCTGAGCTCGAATGGTACTTGCTCTCTAAGAAATTTGACCATCTTTGTACCAAGTACTACAGCAAAGAGTTCCAACCTAGGAATGGATGTGGGCTTGGTTGGCGCAATGCGACTCTTGCTAAATATCAGGTCCACTGAAACATTATCGCCACAAGTAGTGAGTAGGTACGCAGCTGCACCATACGCATGTGCGGATGCGTCAGTAAAAACGTGTAGTTCATACTTGGGAGTTGAACCGTCATCAGTTCGAGTACCCACAAACCTTGGCAATTTTATTCCACTAAGTGACAGCAGTGAATCACACAATTTCTGGCATTCTTTGCGTACATCATCTGGTAAGATATCATCCCACCCAAATTTTCTCTTCCAAAGCTCCTGCATGATGATTTTCGCCTCAACCGTGACAGGACTGACTACACCCATTGGGTCGAATACTGACGAAATACATTGTAGTAGCTGACGTTTTGTTTCGATCTCATGAAATGCCCTTGGCGGTGGTACCCAAATTACGTCATCCTGGGTATCCCAGCCCATGCCTAGAACTTTCGTGCAGTTACCTTTGACTTGATCATTCTCCGGCAGTGAAGAGATGAACTCGTGGTCGTTGGATGCCCATTGTCGTAGATTCATCGAAGCTTCGTTGAAAATCTGCTTCTGCTGCTTGTAGTACTGCTGCGCTGATTCCGTATCTTCTGCACTACCAAGTACATTATCGACGTAGATGTTTCGGGTGACCTCATCAGCCGTAGCTGGCTGTGTTTCTGACAAATGGTGTTGGATCGTTGCGGAGAGAAGAAAAGGACTTGCTACTACTCCGAAAGGTACACGACAAAAACGAAAAGTTACCAGGTTCTCGCCGGTTGCTGGTTTGGTTGGATCCGCGACCCACAAAAATCGCGTACACTCCCGATCTGGTTGGTTTAGGCCGATCTGTAAGAAAGCCTTCTCTACGTCGCTAGAGATGGCTACCGGTGACATCCTGAACCGCAGCAGTATGCCACACAAGTCGGGCAACATGACGGGACCGCGATACAGTGATTCATTCAAACTGTGGCTTTGCTTGTTAGCCTTTGCGGACGCGTCATAAACGATTCTCATTTTGGTCGACTCGCTAGTGGATTTTATCACGCAGTGATGCGGGATATAATGCACAGTGCCCTCAGGCTCCTTTGATGTGTCGACCATTTCAATCACTCCGCTTGCCAATTGCTCTTGAATTGTGTGGTGGTAGGTTGTAAGTACGTCGGTGGGAAGACGTTTTACGAGTGCACGCAATCTGCCACTGGCGAGTTGTAAGTTTTCCGGTATGTTGTGATCTTCATGTTTCCAAGGCCAGGAGACAAAATACCGCCCATTTACAAAGCGCACACTGTTCTTGAATGATTCTAGCGCAGTGTCGTCTTCCGTTTCCATTTCTTTCTCACTGATGCCAACATTTTCAAGATTCCAAAAACGTTCCAAGTCGAATTCTTTCGGTGCACATGCTTCTGCCGCAACTAACGAGAGCGCCTCATGGCACATTAGTGTGTGATCACCATTTCCGTTCGATTTCACCTTGCCTGCCACCAAAAACCCAAGAGTGGAATCGATCAAAATGAGACCATCTGGGTATTCCAATCTTTCGCTGCCAACAAATTGAAAGTATTGGTCTGCTCCAATTAAGATATCAATAGGCATTGCTTCAGGTGTATTGCATAGAGGCTCTGCTAAGATAAGCTTCTGTAAGCTAGAGTGCTTTGCTGTGCTCAAAGGTACTTTCTGTAGTGGACACGAAATGTTGTTGATAACATTTGCCTGTATGGAAGCTAATTCACCATTCTTCTGCTTGATGTGCAAATTGACTACAGGGTATTCCTTTACCGATCTGTGTGTTGCACCAAAGGTTGCAAGTGAAATTCTGTCACTTCCCTCTTGTTTGAGTCCCAATGCTTTGCTGACATTCTCACTGACGTATGTTCTCGATGAACCCGTGTCAAACAAGATCCTTACAGTCTGTGACCTGTTGCCTTCCTCATTTGTTGCAGTAGTCAAAGCAGTTTGCATTAGAACCCTGTGCCCTTGTGTGTGAGAAACCATTGCCTCATCTTGTGTTGGTTCAAATGTCTCTGCCATTGCATTCAAAGTGTGTGCCTGTTTTTGTCCATCACCATGATGCTTCCCATCATTTTTTCGCTCTTCATTTGACTTGAACTTCTGTGGACACAGACTTCTGTGGTGGGATTTGCGTTTGCAATGGTAGCATGTTCTAGCATTCATGCAAGCTCTTGCTCCATGTCCCGCTTTCAGACAGATGTAGCATTTCATACCCAACCGTGTTTTCCGTTCATCTAGCGATTTGTACATTTGACATTCATCAGAGTAATGCTTTCCATCACAATACATACATTTGATAGTACGAGCTACACCAGCACCCGCAAGTAGAGACTGCCCTGTTGATAGTATCTTCTTTGAGTGATTGGCATGTTGCCATGATTGTTGACCTTTGCATGCGGCTGGTCCTTCTGCATTCTCTTTTGCCTTTAGTAAGTGCGATAGTGCCAAACGCAACTCACTAATTGTCCATTCATCGTGCTGTTTGGTGAGCTCAAGTTGTAATTTCACATCACTGGGGAGCTTGCTCAAGATTATTGTAATGAACACCTTTTGCGATACATCCTCATCCTGTGCTTCAAGGCTCCTGAGGTGCACTTCAATTTTGTCAACACAAGACCTCAAACTTTCGATTTTTGAGGTGCAGGCCGACATCTCCATTAAGGCAGTGTAGTGGGCATCCACCGTAGCTTGCTTACTCCCGTACCTCTTCTCAAGCAGATCCCGGGCAACTTCATAATTTGCATTACAGATTCTTAAACCTTTCAGCACGTCTTGTGCTTTCCCTCCCACACATTCACGGAGATAGCTCAATTTTTCAACTGGTGACAAGGAGGAGTTGTCATGAATAGTAGCATCGAAAATGTTCCAAAACTCTTGGAACTCCATTATGTCCCCATCAAAATGCTTTAGCTCCAATTTGGGTAATCTGGCAGTTGTCTGGGGCTTCGATTCGGTTCTAGTATCCTGCTCTACTATGGGTCTAGTATCCCGCTCTACCAATCTCTTTAGAAGATTTTGGGTTGACTCTTGGGTGTTAGCTTGCGTCCCAATCAATTTCGTAATCTCAAGCAAGGTAGAGTCTGTCTGCATTGTAGGCTGGACGCCTGACTCCAATTCCATTTTTCTCAATTTTCTCTGGAGTTTGAAACCCTTCTCTAGTGTCTCTGTCCATAACCCAGCCTCATCCTCCAAGCCATTCTTAATTTCTTTGTTTTCTTTACCCTTTGGCTCATATACCTCCACATTCTCAACAAAATCATCCAAGTTAGCTTCCGTTCTTTCCAACAATTCCTTTAAACCACAAAGAAACGGACTTATCTGGTTGACGGGTTTGGTTCCTGCTAGCAGATCTTCGCCGACTGTCGTCTCCTCCTGCAGCTCTTCATACAGGAGCTTGAGAGCACGCTTGCTCGTCTGGATAGCCGTCGGCAATCTTGTGTCGCCCATTTTCACAACTCAAGCCCCAAGGGGCGAGTCAACCAGGAGCAAGGCTCGGTTGGGGGCAGTGGCGAGGAACTAGGAAGCAGGTTTCGGCACCATGTCACTAACCGGCACAAACCCGCAAGTGCACAGTTAGGAGATGAGTTGATAACTGATTTATTTGCTCGGACTGAAAGAGAATTTATACGATAAGTGAACGTGGCAGTGCAACATCGTACGGAGCACGCGCACTTCATTATTTTGGGAGAGCAGTTTGCAGCAGTTGGGAAAAAAGCGAGCTCTGGCATGGCTGTGTAAACCTAGAGGGTCTGAGGCTACCAACTGTGCATGTGGCAGAACTTGCCGTACAGAGTTCACAGTGCAATATTTACCGTATAGACTAAGACAAAGCTACAGATTGCTGCAGTGCCGAAACATGAACTAAAACATGTAAAATAGCAAAATTAAACTATCTCGCTTCGCGACAAGGTTGCCGAGAAATTGCATGAACATTCATCAAAGGGCTTTGCGGTGTTCATTAACTTGCGCAAAGCATACGATTCAGTACCTAGAGCAACCATGTGGAGGGTTCTCTCCAGGCTGCGAGTGCCGGATAAACTGATCTCCATCATTTGGTCGTTCCATGAAGGCATGTCTGCATCCCTCCGTCTCGGGGTAGATCGGCTGGAACCTTTCCCGTTGGGAAATGGCCTACGTCAGGGATGCACTATGGCCCCGATCCTGTTCAACTTATTCATGGGTGCGATTGGGGAAAAGTGGCATGCTGCCATCGCCAATGACGAAGATATCGGTAACCAGGTGTGGCGGTTGCGCTGAGACTGCTTGTTCAATACACGACTCAGAGAGTGTCGCAGAGTTACTATAACGGAGTGTCAGTTTGCGGACGATTCGTCGCTGGTCGCCAACACCTACGGCGGTGCTGAAAGGGCCTTGTCCACGTTTCCGGAGGTTGCAGCATATTTTGGCCTGTTGGTCAATCAGGGCAAAACCAAATTCATGCCTACGGGCGTTTTTGTGGTGACGTCGGATATGTTGCCTTTAGGTTGAGCCGTCGAATGCGTGGACAGCTTTCGTTATCTTGGCTGCCAGATCACTCCTGATGCTAGGAGTAGCTTTGATGTCTCGCGCAGGATCGCCGCATCTTCGGGTGCATTTTGCGCCCTGAAGAAGGCTTTGTTTGGGAACTCCGAGTTTCATATCGGTCTCAAGCGTGTTGTGTACGGAGTCACTGTGTTGGCGGTACTCCACAGTGGTGCTGAGAACTGGACACCGAGGAGTCGTTCCACCTGTGATCTATAGGCATGGTCCTGGGAATCAATCATCGTCCCATATTCTCCTCTTGTATAAGTCTTATGTGCGTCCGGCAATTGAATATGCCATTCCTGTCTGGTCATTTAGGATCACATCTGCTCAGTTAGAGTCCCTTGATGTGCTCCAGGCTAAGGTTTGCCGGCGACTCCTGAAGTCTGCAAAAATAACCTTTGATATCTATGAATCAAAATCCAATTTGAATAGATTGTGTCACTTAGAATCTCTGCAATTTCGCCGTATCTTTATTTCTCTTGTTGTTTTATTTAAGTACATCAATTTCCACCCAGAATATCTCTCTCGCTTTGCGATAACCATATCACGTAGTGCCCGTAGGCCCAAAAAGCTCGTTTTTAACTCACATGGTCGTATTTTTTCATCCCTTTTCCTACAGAAAACTGGTTCTCTTTGGAATTGTCTTCCACCCCGATTGGCAACTTTAGATTCCCTATCTGAATTCATCTTCACTAGTTTGAGGGAAAGAGACAAACGGAAAAAGTCTGAAGAAAAAATTGACTGTGACCATCAGGACTCGAACCAGGGACCCTCGCTTGTAATCTGAATCTGAATTCAAGCGTCATTTACGTATTCACATTGCCAAGTATCAGTTCGACTGCACTGGTACACCTTTGATGTGCAATCATTGATTTACATGTTTGTTCTTTTCTTTTCTGTCCTACTTTCTTTCCTTGTGTTTCTTATTATTCCTTTTTCAAACCAACATTTCACACTCACTTTGCGCACTTTCTCTCGCATCCTTAACTATGTTACTAGTACATACACAAATAGGAGATCCCCCGGATAGGCGTTAGCCTTTGGGTAATCCTGAAATAAAGATTATTATTATTATTATATGGAGTCAGGTTGAAATCCTGAATGATGTTCTGCGCAAACGCTACGTGGCTAAAAACATTTCACATAATATTATCTTCTTGAAACGCTGTAAGGAAAAAGAAAATCGATTTTGGTAAACCTTCATGACTTTGTTGTAGTGTGGCGATGACAGCAGAATTTGTTCTCTTCATAGCTATTATAAATTTTTTGTCTCCGCGTCGATTATTTACATTATTATTATTAAGTAGTGGTTGCGACTTCGGCGATGATTTTGAAAGAAAGGTTTGCTCCCCACACCGGAGCTCGCGCTATTCCGCCGACTTTACTTGACACTTGACTGACTCACGACTGCCATCCAGAGCACACGAGAAGTCCATCGAACCTTCGACTCGGCAAACCTGCAAGAAAGCACCACTCCCTGCTCAATACACAGTGTTTCGGGGAATTCACCCCTCATCAGTTGAGCTTGAGTAGGCTGAGGAAGATTGTGCCTTAAGAGCACCACTTATATAGTGCTCTCCAGGCACAAACATCACCAGGGATACAAACTTACAGAGACGCTCCGCTTCCAGCGCGACAAACACCTCGTGAACACCAGATAGCAGCGTGAGTCAGTGTCGCTCCTGGACGGTGAGACAGACGTCGAGGACCCTCGGTCATTCGCAACGCTGTCACCTCCAAACCAACTAGTCGCAAGCCCGCGCTGGGCACAACAGTACGAAGTAGTGGTTGCGACTTCGGCGATGATTTTGAAAGAAAGGTTTGCTCCCCACACCGGAGCTCGCGCTATTCCGCCGACTTTACTTGACACTTGACTGACTCACGACTGCCATCCAGAGCACACGAGAAGTCCATCGAACCTTCGACTCGGCAAACCTGCAAGAAAGCACCACTCCCTGCTCAATACACAGTGTTTCGGGGAATTCACCCCTCATCAGTTGAGCTTGAGTAGGCTGAGGAAGATTGTGCCTGAAGAGCACCACTTATATAGTGCTCTTCAGGCACAAACATCACCAGGGATACAAACTTACAGAGACGCTCCGCTTCCAGCGCGACAAACACCTCGTGAACACCAGATAGCAGCGTGAGTCAGTGTCACTCCTTATTATTATTATTATTATTATTAATCGGGCGCTCCAGATGGACGAGCAAGTGTCAACCCTTCAGATACGGCAGTGGTGGGGAGACATGGAGCAGATTTCTGACAAGGTCCCGCGCCGTCGTCTCCAATGGCTGGGACACAAGGCTCGCATGGGTGACCATATTCCCCGCCAACTGCTCTTTGGTGCCTTGACGTCTAAACGACCTCCACATGCCCCCGAAAGAGGTGGAAAGACCCAGTCAAACATGACCTGGCGGCGGTGTCCATTAGTGGCTTGCCACAGCTGATGATAGGTCTGAGTGGAGAACCAGATGTCAGGATGGAGATGACAGCGTGGTATGCTCTCGTTTTCAACCTGCCGTGAAGCCACTCCTATGAAAGGTCTGCACACGCCGTTTCAGCCGTCCTCAAGACATCGCTAGACATAGTTGTACCTCCCGTCGCCTCCCAAAACGCAAAAACAAGCAGTGAAACAGCCGTTCACGTCCCGCCGGACTCGCAGGGCCTCATTCCGCATCCTGAAGCCAGCACTCCTTCAAGTCGCCCCATTTGGGGACACATAACCAATCATGGCAGTGGGCGAAGGAAGGAAGGAAGGTGGGTGTGTATGTGTGTGTGTGTGTGTGTGTGTATGTGCATGTGTGTATATGTGTGTAGTTGTGCGTACGTGGGTGTGTCTGTGTCTGTGTCTGTCTGTGTGTATCCGCGCATACATGTGTGTTCTTACTATCTCTGCCGTTATCGCTTCTGGCAACAAGAAAGAAGATGTGGTGATCTGCTGTACGATCCATTCCGGGGTGATGAACCCTGGAGCCAGTGGAGGTAATGTTTCCCAAACCTACGATGGAGGACAGCAAACACGCTCAGTCCAGTGTTGGTTGTATATCACATCGATGCAAAGCCATTCAACACCAGTATTGACAACGGAGATTGTCTGCGGATCAGATCGGCCGGCCCAGAGCAGCCCGATTCTCGACCATGCCTACCCGCCGTAGACGGTTCTCCTGATTGGACCACATTAGGGTGGAGCACTTGCACCACGACATGCGGCTCTGGGAGTCAACAGCGCAACGTGACATGTCATCAGGCGATATTCAGCAGTGTGTATCGCGACGTGGACGATAGTCTGCGCCGTAACGAGATTCAGACCCTGTTTGTTGAGGTGTTTTCGGCCGTCATTTCAGATGTAAGCATAGAGCCTACGTTGCTGCCTTTGACTGGTGAGTCATTGGGTGGTGCCACTGCCAATCGTTCACCTGAGGCTCATTTGGACATCTTTCGATGTGAGGGTCACCCACCCCTTGGCGTCCTTGCTGTCGAGATGGCATGTACTTGTCCAGTTGTCTCCTAACGAAGCACAGAAGAAACGGGCCTACCTCCAACGTGTGATTGATGTTGAGCGAAGAACCTTCGAGTCTTTGGTTTTCGCGACCAATGGTATCTGCTCTTCCGAATGTTCCCGTGCTTTAAAGAACATTGTTCAGCTCATTGTGGAGAAGCAATCAGAGCTTATTTATGCAATAGTAATGTGGCATTTGCGCTGCAGGATCTCATCTATTTTTCTCCGCTGGCTGATTACTTGCTTTCGAAGGTGCAGAGTTTCATATTGCCGAAAGCGTGTAGCAATTTCATTCCTGGAACAATGCCGGTTGCTCCAGTTGTGATTGGAAATATCATAGGCCCTTCATGTGCTGTGGAGGCCTGCTGGTGATTTCAATATCTTCCTGCTGTAGTTATACTGTGGGTATGTAATACAATAGTG